CCCCCTATATAGTTTCTTACAGTGGTGTAACAAAGTACAAGCCTGGTGTTTTAAAACAATACAAATGTATTCTCTTAGGATTTTAAAGGCCAGGAGTCCTAAATCAGTTTCACCAAGCTAAATTCAAAGTGTTGGCAGGGCCTTGCTCTTTTAGAGGCTAAAAAGGAAAGTTCTTTACTTTACCTTTTTGGCTTTAAGAACTATTCCTTGCAAGGACCAGCAGATGGTGTAATGGTTTCATCACTGGACTCCCATATGGCCAACCGTAGTTCCAGTCCTGGACCCGGCAGCTTGAAACTCATGCCAGGATCATGTACATGCATGCCCAAAATCCCAAGAGGAGGATAGAGGAGAGGGGAATGGAGGAGAGGTGATTGTGGTATGCCATTTCTCCCGTGGGTGAGTTATTGCTTTCTGTCTCCCTCTCTTTCTGTCTCTAGTGAGTGCACATGCCTTATAGCAAAAATCTCTCTTTAAAAAAAAAATAAAGAGGGGCCAGCAGGTGGCATGGTGGCTAAAGCACTGGACTCCCACATGGCCAACTGCCGTTTTGAGTCCTGGACCTAGCGGTTTGCTTTCCCACTTTCTCTCTCTGGTCAAATTAAAAATAATGATAATAAATAAACTTAAATAAATCTTTTTAAAATAAGAAAAAAACTATTCCTTATATCTCTTGACTTATAGCCCTTCCTGTATCTTAAGGGCCAGCAATGTAACATGTTTAAACCTCTGCTTGTCACATTACTTCTTTGTAGTCAAATCTCTCTCAATCTTCCTCTTACAAAGACAGTTCTGATTACTTTAAGGGCCGATCTGGATAATCCAGGATAATCTTCTCATTCGAGATCATTGATTTAATCATATCTGTGGAGTCCCCGTTTCCATAGAAACCAACATTTGCAGGGTTTGGTGAATACTTATATGTTTTGAGGGACTGTTATTTAGTCTAGCACATGTTGCACCCCTGTTAAATAGTAAAAAATAATATATATATTTTTTTTTTGGAGAGGTTTTCACTATAGGGTGGGTGCGCTCGCCCGAAAGACAAAGAGATAGAAAGCGAGAAATCACCCCCCGGGGGGATGGCCATGCTGCAGTCTTCCATTCTCCTCTTGGGATCTTGGGCACGCACACACACATGCCCAGCATGAGTTTAAGCTGCTGGGTCCGGGATTTGAACTGCGGTCGACTACATGGGAGTCCAACGACATAGCCATTACGCTAACTGCTGGTCCCCAGTAGTAAAATAATTCTCACAGTTGGTGCCAAAGAGCAGCCGAATAAGAGTCATTGTAATTTCCTGATTCGAATTAAATTAGTATTTTTAAATTCCTTGTATGTAAGAGTTAATGACCTTAAATTGAGTGAAAGATTGAATCTAGATATAAGCTTTACAGCCATGATATATTTTTTTTTCCATGAGTAAGAGACACTGAGAAACGGCATCTCCAGCAGGGTCTCATTGCTGCAGTCCACCCCCATCCTTCAACCGCAGAACATGGGCGTATATATGCATCCCTGGCATACTCAAGGAGATCCCCAGACTTGAACCACCAGGAACCTTCTGTGGGTTACTACTGTGCCACTATCTGGGCCCCTTAAAGTTGTTTTTTGTTTGTTTGCTAGAGAGCATATATGTTTTGTGGAAACAGACGGGGACAGAAAGCAAGAAATCATTCCCCAGCAGGGATGACCACACTGAAATCCCTTCTGTATTTTCCTCTTGGGATTTTGGGCAGACATGCACATGTACCTGGCATATTTCTCAAGCCACTGGGTCCGGGACTCACTCTACAAGATACAGAAAGCAAGAAATCACCCCCAAGGGGAACAGCCACACTGAAATCCCTTCTCCATTCTCCTCTCAGGATTTTGAGCACATGCCCATGCACACACACACCTGGTGTGTAACAAGCTGCTAGGTCGGGGACTCAAACTGCAGTCAGCCACATGAGAATCCAGCACTTTAACCACTGCACCACCTGGGGGCTCCTCATTAAGCTGTTTTAAAAACTTTGGAAGGGGACCAGCAGTTAGCATAATGGCTATGTCGCTGGACTCCCATATAGTCGACTGTGGCTCGCATCCCGGACCCAGTAGCTTAAAACTCATGCTGGGCACGTGTGCGTGCATGCCCAAGATCCCGAGAGGAGAAGGGATTGCGGTGTGGCCATCCCCTCCTGGGGGGTGATTCCTCTCTTTCTGTCTCTGTCTGGTGAGCACAAGCGCCTTATAGCAAAAACCTCTCAAAAAAAAGCCCCCTATGAGAAAAACCTCTAAAAAAAAAAAAAAAAAAACTTTGGAAGAAGTGGTCCTAGCTAAATATCTAAAATCATCTTGGCCCTTGTGAAAGAAGAGGCTGTTTTTTTGTTTGTTTGTTTGTTTGTTTGTTTGTTTAATTTGACCAGAGAGAGTGAGGCAAAGTGAGAAAGCAAGCCACCAGGTCTGGGACTTGAACCACAGTCAGCCCTGTAGAAGCACTGTCCCAACTACCATACCACCTGTTGGCTCAGAGGTTCTGGTATTCTAATGAGGCTTAGAGCTCAGCTCTGCCTTTTGGTAATTTTTTTACTTGAGGCCTTAACCCAGCATGTTATCGATTAGCAGTTATACTTAATATATTATATGTGTTGAATTAATGAGAAAATCTCTGAGTTGTTTTTTTGTTTTTGTTTTTTAAGAGAGATTTTTGATATAAGCACATGTGCTTGCCAGAGAGATGGAGAGAAACAGAGAGACAGAAAGCAAGAAATCACTCCCCAGGAGGGATGACCATGCCACATTCCCTTCTCCTCCATTCTTTGCTCAGGATTTTGGGCATGCATGCACACCTGCCCGACATCAGGTTTAAGCTGCTGGGTCTGGGGCTCACACCGCTATAGACTGTGGGAATCCAACAATGTAACCGTGATGCCATCTGCTGGTCCCTTCAGTCTCTGAGTTTTTAAGAATCTTATAATTGGAGGGCCAGCAAGTGGTGTGGTGGTTAAAGGCGCTGGATTCTCACACGGCCAACTACGGTTCAAGTTCTAGACCTAGCAGATTGCTTTCTTATTTTCCTTTTCTTTCTCTCTCTCTGTCTCTCACTGGTCAAGTTAAAAAATAATATGTGCCAGGCACATGTGCGTGTGTGCCCAAGATCCCAAGAGGAGAATGGAGGAGAAGGGATTGCAGCATGGCCATTCCCCATGGGGGGGGTAATTTCTCTTTTTCTGTCTCTCTGTTTCTCACTGTCTTTTTGGTGAGCGCATGTGCCCTATAGCAAAAACTTCCAAAAAATAATAATAATAATAACAAATGTAATTAAATAAGTAAATAAATAATTTTGCAGCCAAATTATCTATTTATTTGCTTAATTCCATTTGTTATTTAATTTAATAACATGTATTATTTAATTCCATTTGTTTTTTTTTTAAGACTTATTTATTTTTAATTTTATTTATTATTATTTTTCTATTTTGACCAGGGAGAGTGAGAAAGCAAGCCTCCAGGTCTGGGAATTGAATCGTGGTCAGCCATGTGGGAGTTTCACCACCTCAACCACAAT